CAATCTGGATATCAAATCCGGGACCCTCCGTTATTGGCAGCCGATGACTGGCTGGTGATTCCGCTTAGGAACTCGCAATTCCAACCTTTAATCAAAGGGAAAAGATAGTGGCTAGTAGCTTCAAATCTCTTCCATCTACCAATGTCACTTTACCTATGCTAAATGCATACAACAGGCTTCAGTACCTGGATTGGCAAATAGCGAGGAGCTAGGAAACGGTAGTTTGTAGGTGGTATAACATAGCTATGAGGTCTGGTAAATAGCTCGATGCTTCACATACCGGCCTTGGGGATGTCTCGATGGTTTCAGCAATCATACCGGCTTATTTGCCTGCATATGCTGGAACCAAACCGCAGTATTGGTCGAGGGGAAGAGTGGCGCAAGCGGCAAAGCCCGACGCCGCGGCCCGTACTGTCAGTGGTGCAACAGGGTACGGTTTCGAAGTCACCGTCGTCGGTTGAACAGCAACGGTTCGAACCGCCGTACACGGTTTGCAAACCGTGCGCCTCCAAATTAGGAAATACGGTTAGTTTGCTTAGGCCACTAATCCCCTGCGAGATAAGTGGCCTAAGGGACCGTGGAAACCGTCCATATACGGTGCCTGAGGTGCTCACGGCAAGATAGAAGTCGGGATGCGCTTCGGATGGGATTGAGTTTAGGATTAGATGGCCTCGGGGGGCACGTGCAATTCATATGGGAAAGAGAGCCAAGGATAACTAAGTTTGACTGTAGGAAAAGATCTGCCCTTCAATTGAGTTTAAATTTATGATGTATGCTCTTCCTATGTGCGGGCGAAGATGATCAAGTATGGTCATTTAGAGCCTCGCATTGTTACCCGTATTCGAAAATTTAGATTCTCGTGTTTTTTCCCCGTTTTGCTTGAAATTGAGACCGCGGATCGTGCTAGTTAACAAGACGGTTGCCTTGGACTTCGCCTTCCGCAAAACCTATCAGAGTATTCAAATGAGCCTGTTCTTCATGTCATGGTAGGCCCGAATGTAGAATGCTTCAAGTTAAACCGACCATATGGTAAGCTAAGTAGTATGTGTTACGAATGAGCGATAACATGAAAGGGTGAAGACTGGTCACGAGCGATGATAGTACGCGGAGAAGAAAAGAAATAGATGGCGACCATCCCCTACAAGACATTCAAGCTCTTACACCAAGAACAGACGCTGAGTAAAGATCGTGAGCATTCCTTTTTATCAATCCGCCAGAGGGTATAAAACATCTACTTACCACGCGTTGCCAAAACGTCACATCGTGGTTCGGACTTGGCATAAAGTGCAAGAAGTTTCCGCCATTCTTTTGAAGATGAAAGTAGGTGTCGATGGCTATTGGAGAGGTACGCGGGCAATGAGAATCGACCTATCCTCAGCGTAGAATATGCGTGGTTAACGAGACTTACCGAGCCCACCAGGCTGAACCCATGTACCTAAAATACGAGCGTGCACCAGTGAGCCGAAGGCCTGAATAAGATGATATTGAACTCCACACTCACTAGTGAATTCCTTCGTCGCTGCATCGAACTTCCATACATGCGATTCACTTGGCTGCAGAGTTCACCAGCCATCGTCAATATACCAATCAAGGCAATCATTGTGTTGGAAGACTAGTACTGACCCCAGAGTTTTGAAGTGAATGCCCAACACTTTGAGGAGGAGAGCCAGAAGGCACTTTCCAAACGATTGTCAACTGGTGAACTCTCTCATTGACGCATCAATAGTACTTACCCGAGTTTGTCCTCACAAATACTGCGCCAGTTGCACTACACAGGTAGCCGTTGTGGTTATTAGTTCACCACAGGACGGCAGTATTGCAGACAAAGCACGTACGCTGTCATTTGATTGGCCTGTGCGCCGATATACCGCCAGCTAGATGCCCCCTTTATCACCATCTCGTTTAGCATGTTAGAGCAGCAGAGGAAGAGGCCTGACTCACGTCGGTGACTGCCATCTCGAAGACGTTCGTTGGGCTGTAATAGGTAAACCCAACGGGGAGCCTGAGGTTTGGTGCAGTGACTGGTAAAAGCCTACCACATCCATTTATTAGCTTGATACTAATGCCTCTAGTGAGAAGCATCTACTACCTTCCGTTTATCGCCACCTTTCCTACCCATCCCAGATCCGCATTCGTTGCATAGTCCCGAACTTGAACATAACCGGAGAACCTTAAAGAGCACACAGAGTCAGCCTCCGTACCAAGATCTAAATTTCAATAGAGGAAAGACGAACGGCGTTGGTGATGGACCGCTCCTCGCTGCCAACGTAGCCTTTGTAGGCTCGAACCGCCTCTTGGGCGGGAGAGGTGGCAACCCCGCTCTAAGTCTTTGAGCATTCGTCTGATACCCATTACTCATGTCGTTTGGAGCAGACGATGTGGGTTTCCCGAGAACGGAGAAAAATGAGAGTTGGAAGCTTAGGAAGAGTAGGAAGAGGAGCTGAAATGTCGATGACATGGCGGGGGAAATAGAGGAGACCGAGGCGAAAGGTGAGGGCAGAAATCTCAAGCGACGCGATTGTTGCTTTATACCCAGGGGCTGAGTACGTTGTCCTTGATCTCGGCTTTAAAGTTTAGTCGTTCCAAGAATTCCGCCTGTCGTTTTCGGCGACAGCGCGGAAGGGAAGCTGTGCGACGATTTTGATTGTTCCTTGGGGCGTTAGCTGGCCGTCAATGGCATTCTATTCTTGTAAACACATTGAGGGTATCCCGTGTAAACGATTTGGTAGCTGAGAGAGTGCCTGGGGCAGTAACGAGGGATCTGTGAAGGGGAGGAGGCCAATATCGTATGCGCGCTTATTTCTCGCAGATTCTAACTCCGCCCTCTTTCAGTTCCCCTCATGCGCAAATTTCAACGTATTCTTCCCCCTTCTAAGTTCCTGTATAAAACTGATATTGCAAGCAGTAGAAGTACAACTTATGGGCCAGGAAACGCGGGGCTACTATCAACCAGCCAAGTACACCTTGATCGACTCAATGTCAAAGTAGGCGTTACTGAAGTAGGCTGTGTTCTTTTCGACGAACGCTGGTGGATAGAATAGGCATGAGAATATAGCGCTACATACGTTTGAAAAACAATGCTAACCTTTACAGGTCTCTGGACATCCGGAGTATGGATACGAAGATCCGGCCCAGTCCCCACCTAGTCGCTCATTCAATACTGGTCTCTCCAACGGAATACGAAGGAAGATAGACGCACAGAAGTTCAGATTGATGATAATATTGTTATCAGCGAATTTGGACGCCAAATCACACGAGACACTGTTAAAAAGTGCAGCGGGTGTACCCCAGTGCTCTGTGAACACCTCGCCATTTGTAGGCGTCTTGACGGTGTCTGGGACAGTGGTAGAGGTGCGTGGCCAGAACCAAACCTTAATAAAATCTGCCTGTCGTTCCATCGCGTACCTTTTGAGGTGTGGTTTAAGAGACAAAAATGCGACGAGGGAGAGTGGGACGTACCATCCCCCGCCAACGGCATTAAAGGGAGCTCCATAGCTGTTCTGTGTCGGAAGACGGACGTTGCATCCGCCGTTGTAGCAGTTCAAGCTCACAGGCGTTCTTTTTGTAGTGTATCAGCTAGAATTCGTAGCTTGGCTAACGCAAAAAAACTTACCCAGTATGGTTTCGAACCTGGGGCATGGTGCAGTCTATGAATCGATGAATAAGCAAAGCTACACCGTAAGTTCCTTGTGGTTTACTTACTGTCGCTGGTATGAACAGAAACAAGGTTGGGTGCTTGATTGTTGGCGCCTTCCAGAATATCCAACTCTCCCTGGTGCGGAAACGAACAAAATCAGCCTTCTTGGCCTCATGACGTGCTTTAACCAGACTCACGCCACTCGGCCAACCTGACTCTTTGGTCTCCCAAATTGCCGGCCACGTCCCACAACCCTCAGGCATGTGACGCACATTGAACCTGACATTAAATCCGATGACTCGGAGGCGGTAGCTTTTGCCAAAGGGATAGAACATACACTGCGACATGGTTCTTGTACGCCCTCTTACTCCTGATCCGAACGCTGTTCCTTCCAGGCCCATCAGCAGTGAGGACAGTCTTGTAGTCCCCTCAGAGGATAAAACTAAATATAAAGGTAAATCAGAATACGGAAGGGTTTCCCAAGTAAGAGGGAAAGTAATGCGCACGTGTTCGCTGTGGCATAGGTCAAGTTCAACCTCTTGGACGTCTCGCGATCGGTATAGTTCACTCGTCCATGACTCCAATCAGGGATGGAGAACCAGTCAAACTTGTCATAAAAGTTTGTTCCCTGGTAAGTCTCGGTCAAGAGATATCGAATTGCATTCGCTTGAAGTGGAAGCGAGGTGAGGACAACAAACAGAGGGAGAAGAGGTAAAGCGTGGAGGATACGTCCCAACATGGCTGTTATCAGCAGGGTCGCTTGGTACAAGACACAGATTACCTGTACGATTTTATACCCGGCAGCCTTGGGCGAGTAAAGATCTCTGCCAATGCGTCGATGTCAAGAAACGACTTATACATATCTTTGTTGGTCGATACCCCGTCCTTCCGTATCCTCGTTCTTTCTCTCATGTGGGGCGCTTTTAACGGGAGACTGGCCTGTACCGAAGCGTTAGTGAACCTAACTACACTCGTACCTTGATGCAACCGTCAACGTTCCTGATCGCCTTTTGCTTCCGGCCTCTTCGATAAGTCCCGGAAGCTCTTACCCGATGACTACCAGCGAACATCGGCTGTTTATGGGAGAACAACGGCTTGGAAGAACCTACAAGTAATGATAAATCTACCCAGACCACGCAGAAAAGGTCCACGAAGCAGAGGATCCATCATCTGAGAGACTTGAATACTGTAACTCAACGTCTTGGTGACCGACAGGTTGGCCAGCAAAGAAACTTTGACTCGTTTGGCGCTTACCTTTGACGCCCAGTCATGGCAACGCGCGTGACAGTCCTTGTGGGTATCTGTTCAAAGCGCCAAAACAGTCATTGCTAATTACACATGTCTGGAAGCTGATTAGGCTATCGGCGCTATAGCCAAGTGGTTACGGCGACAGATTCGAACATCGCCCTGTGCGAGAGGCGATCATCTGTTCCTCTTTGAGGGCGCAGGTTCAAATCCTGCTGGCGTCGCTGAAAATGTGCGATATATCGGGGTTGAGATAGACCTGAAATTTTGTTACCGAGTGAATTCTGACCTTTTAGGAAAATCTCATGCCAACCAGGAGAAGAGCCTCGAAATGAAGGACCTTGGAGTGAGATAAATTTAAACCGGCGCATGTTCTGCAAAAATCAGTATCTCCTAGGGGTGCATAAAACCTAGTGCCAAATATCGAACATACTGTGCTAATCGAATATACCACAATCACGTTCGTCTTGCTCATTCAGCTTCCACCCTCCGATCAGGTACGCTTCGCTCTCCGGGGTCCAATCACTCCACCGAATATGACACCTCAGCCGGATCTGCGAACAATACCTCGCCTGCTCCGCAAGTAAAGGGAAGAAGGCATTCCGGGCCCCTTCGCCGTACCTCCTTCTGGTCGGATTACAACTCCCAAGACCACAGGCGTGAAATATCCACAGTTCAATGTCGTCAAGTTTATTGAGTTTCTCGCTTGATGTAGCGGCAACGGTGTGCAGAGCGAGAAAATGGTCGATCGGGGTGCAATGATAGTCGATCTTCCAGTTTAGATGCTGTGGGACGTCAGGGCAGACGGCGAATAGGATCAGCTTGAGCTTCTTCAGGATGCTCCACCGAATGGTCTTCAATGTTGCTAGAATGACTGGGGACGTTGGGAGGAATCCGATTCCTGATGGGGAGTCGTAGCGAAGTTCAATGGATGTCAGATTCAACATCGAACTGAAGTCCAATTTGAGCTCGTCCTCGATAGCAGAGGAGGGAGGAGGATGGAAGGGGTCGTATTCGACGCCTCTCAACCGCTGCCATGTGAGCCCACAGGCGAAATGCTGGAGTGTATTTCGAGTACTTCGGAGCACGGTGCGAATGTCTCGTATGTTCTCGACGAGAGAAAGTGCGTCGAAGGACGTAAGAGAACGGAAGATTTGGGGATCGCTATACAGTATCCCCCGAAGGGTATTAGCGTAAATGGAATCCACAACCTCGCTCTTGTTCATGACGCCGTGGAGATGGATGGTGAGGGATTTGAGGGGAGCGAGCCCTTCGCTGAAAGGCGACGTGAGGCTGGTTCCGTATTGTTTCCACTGGTGCCCATAGGCAAGGGTTAGGTGCTGGAGGGCGGGGTGATGGAGGAAAAGGGAGGTCGGAAGTTCGAGACCACGGAGGTCAAGAGCTTGAAGCGAGGGTAAAGCGCAAATAGTGGCGAAAAGCTCCTGTACGGCTAGCGGAAGATCACTGAACCATTGTGCTGACATACAGAGCCACGGAGAGAGGCCTTCGCTGGGATCCACCGAAAGATGGGTGAGGCCAGTTAAGCGATTGACGAGGGCAAGGAGACTTTCCCCACATTCCTTCAGGCTTTCCATCCCCTCCCCACTATCGTAGATTCCAAGCTTGAGGTGACGTACCCTGCCAGCATAGCTGGGGTCAAAGTCGAGGATTTCATGAAGTGTCGCAACCCGTTCGCTTGCCAGGGTCTATGCAGCTGACCTTCACGGACTCCAGAATCAGGGGTTTGGTGATAGCGTTCCATTCCTTCGACACCAAAGCACAGCTCTGGAGGGAGGTAGATATACTGCAGGGTTGCCAGTGAGAGCTCTCAATGAGCTTAATGACCTGGTAAACGGTCTTAGGAAGAAGCTTTGTGTTGTTATCCATGGTGGGTGGTCAAGTTGGGGAAAAGGAACGTCGTATCGAGGTTATCGATTAAGAATCAAGCTCAAGATAGAGAGTTCTCACACTATACCCGCCATCCCCAGGGCCCGTCCTAAACGTTCGAGTCCCTGACCCTAATTATTGCAGGGTCAGCATCGTGGCTCCGCAAATCCGCCTGTTTTGCCACGACTGTCACATCGAAAGCGTCCGAGGAGGAAAGTCAGCTGATGAACATGATGAGCCGAGTCCCATGTATTTGTTCATGACCTGAAGGCAATTCAGGAAGCTCCTCACACGCTGCGAGTAGGAAAGTGGAGGAAGGGGCGAAAGTGATGGCACCCTGCGGGCGCTCCGCATTGGGCGTGGGACCTTTATCCCTTTGAAGGTCGGTTGATCCGAGCACTGAGCGGAACGGATTTGGATACCTTTTTGTTCTCGACGGTCGACCACCATCTGACATTTGACTTCGAGATAATCCTCATCGGGTCTGGCTGGCTCACTGGATCTGGGTAACTCTTTTCAATCCAACATTCTGGCTCATGGAACACGAATTGACCTCGTCCGACTGGCGCTTCGGGCTACTTGCCCAAAAATGAACATTGCAGCGCGACTCTATCAGAGTCGATGACCAATTCGGATTTTAAGTCCACTTTGACCTATCTCGCTTCGCTCCGACAGCACTCTTTGCAACCTTCGCTTCCGGTCGCCATAGTTTGCTCCTTGTCTGTGTTCCTTGTGTCACAAACTACTTTCATCTGCTAAACAACCTCGATGCCGGCGCTTGCTTACGATCCACTTTCCTTGCGAGTGTCCCTGTTTCCTTGCCTTCATTCTCTACTCACTTCCCAAGAGGTCAAATTTCAAACCCCGTAGCCAACATTTCCAGTCTTCAAGTGGTGACCTTTGTACCAGAGGCGTTTTCCACAGGCTTCTTGTCTCGTTTTCCGTCCATTTGATGCGCCGGTGTGGGCTCATATACGGATTTCTGCCCGCTTCAGAAGGATTAATCTTTACCGAAGTGCGACCTTTCCTAAACAACTTGACCTGCACATGGATATATTGAAATCTCTCGGGCTACACGAAATGACCCCTATATTTTGCGACAGTCTTGTGCGCTTCGCCAACCCCGAAGCTATTTCAGGATCACCACGTGTCGGTTTGTGGGCGCCAGTCGCACCCCGAGATCAGCTGCAGCAAACCCTTCCAACTTGACCACCACGCCAGGGCTTGCAGTCACCTAATTTTACATCGATGGTGAGTCCCGATCTTCTGTGGAACGCAGTTGTAACATATGCCATCAGGACGACCAACTCGATGCAGCACACTCTTATCCACTGGCCCGACCTTCAGGATCTCGTGAAGTCGCCAGCCAGGTGTTGAGTAATGTTCAGATTGGTACTGGAGACGTGAATGTCGTTGGGAGAGATCTGGTCCAGATACACAACCACCACGTCCACCACTATCATTATGCGGTGGAAAGCCCAGCCATACCGCCTATATTGGGCAAAGTTCCAAATCTGCGAGATATCCATATTGAGACCTTGGGCAAGGCGACAGAGGGGACAGGGGATTGGATATACGTATGGAACGAGTTCACAATCTGGCTAGCGTCCGATGGTTATATACGGATCTTATGGGGATCAGGGATGCGTGAGCTCAGCTTATCGTCTTTCTCGCTTGGACTGATCATAATCGTGGCTCGTTGCAGCGGGCGCTGGAAAGTCGGTATTAGCGTGCGTTGTTCACTTTCCCTCCACTGTTGCTCATTTTTACCTCCGCCCATTCCAGATCCCTTGCCATCAGAGCAGTTGAGAATCATGCAAAGGCTTCAGCAACCCCCGTCTGCGTTGGCTTTCTCTACATCCGTTACAGCGATAACGCTAAATTGTCAGTTCGAGACCTACTGGAGATCTTGGTCAAGCAAACCATCGAGCGTCACCCAGCCGCCCTCCCTCTGTGCCAGGAAGTCTATGACAGACACATTCGCGAGAAGACGGATCCGTCGACGAAGGAGCTTGTCGGGCTGCTCAAGCGGTTCACTTCAGAGCCGACGACGACCACATTCTACTTTCTCGACGCTCTCGACGAGGCTCCCGCCAACATGCGCCTCGATCTGCTTGAAGTTCTGACTTCCCTGAACGTCAAGCTATTCGTCACTTCCCGGCCTCTCAATGGCCTGGAAGCTCGTTTTCCCAACACCCATCGCTTCCCCCATCTGCGCTCAGGATCGCGACTTAGACGTTCACATCAACAGAGAGATATCACGGAGCTTGGAACTTCAAGCCATTCTAGCATCGTCGAGCCCTGGCCTGGATGGAAGAATCACCTTGGCAATCAAGCGGAAATGCAGCGGCATGTGAGTATCAGTTCCACGATTTGAAATGTCACCCTAAACCACATGCGTCTAGGTTCTTGCACGCATCCCTACAGTTGCAAGCTCTGCAAGAGTGTACCAGCAGACGAGAGCTGAATAGGACGCTCGAAGAGTTTCCCGCGAAAATCGCGGATGTATATGCTCAGACCTGGGATCGCATCATCAACCAAGCGCCTGATAGGACTTTGCTAGCAATGAACGTCTTGCGGTGGGTGCTGTATGCGACTCGATCGCTAGCCATCGAGGAGCTACGTCATGCCCTAGCGTCTTGCCCTGATACGCACAATTATGAGCCTAGTCGACTCGTAGCGCCTCAAACCCTCGTTGGCGTGTGCTGCGGCCTCCTCTTGGTAGAGAAGGAAACTCGTCAAGTCCGCCTCGTTCGTACGTTCCTTTTCTTTGTCTGTCATCGGCATGATAACCTGACATATCTATTTGTCGTCATATAGATTATTCGGCCAAGGCAGTTCTTCAAACCCTCATGGTCGGGGTTACCCCCCATCCCCACAGCCTGCCCGCTTTCGTCTGCATCAATCGCCTCTGTCACGCTGGCTTGCAAAGCTCTTCAGTTGATTCAAAGGAAGACTTCGATGCTGCAATGAGGGAGTCACCTCTCCTGCCTTACGCCTATGATTCATGGTCAGATCACGCTCGGGAATCACTCGACGATGACATTTCAAAATCCCACATCGCAACCTTCGTCCAGGGATGTCATGGATTTCCCATCCTAATACGCAAATATGGACCTTGGCGCCGATTCGCTTGGCGCCGATTCGGTCCCCTTCACGTCGCTGCCTATTTTGACCTTCCACCCTCTTTGGCTGGCTCAACTTACCTTCGGAACATCAATCTTCCAACAGGAGAGGAGGCTCTGACGCCACTGCACCTCGCGTGCATTGGGAATGCTCAACGCGCTGTTCAAGAGATGCTGAGTCTCCCAAGGATCAAACTCAATGCTGTTGACAG